TTTGTTAATATCATCACATAACAGTTATCAAAAAAATGTTGGTATTTTCAAAAAAAGAAAAGGTTCTAATTTAAGCTATGCATAAAATGGAACTTGTTTGTTAATGTGAAATAACGATATTATCAAAAAAAGAAAAGGAAACTAAAGGTTCTAATTTAGACTATGCATAAAATGGAACTTGTTTGTTAATATGACATAACAATGTTATCAAAAAAAAGAAAAGGAAAGAAAAGGTTCTAATTTAGGCTATGCATAAAATAGAACTTGCTTGTTAATATCACATAACGATTATCAAAAAAAAATGTTGATATTATGAAAAAAAGAAAAGGAAAGAAAAGGTTCTAATTTAAGCTATAGATAAAATGGAACTTGTTTGTTAGTATCATCGCATAACAATTATCAAAAAAATGTTGATATTTTCAAAAAAAGGAAAGGTTATAATTTAGGCTATGCATAAAATGGACAACGTGTTTGTCGTTGATATCACATAACGATATTATCCAAAAAATGTTGATATTATGAAAAAAAGAAAAGGTTCTAATTTAAGGTGTGCATAAAATGGAACTCGTTTGTTAACATCACACAACGATTATCAAAAAAATATTGATATTATTTTCAAAAAAAAAAAAGAAAGGAAAAGTGAATAAAATGCATACACCAAACGAACAGTATCAAAGAAAGAAAGAAAGAAAAAAGATGAATGAAATTAAGATGTGAAAAGGAAGAAATAAAAATTAGGATACATGTACGCACGACGATAATATCGCGCAAAGGAAGAAGTGAGAGAAGAAATAGGCATAAAGTAGAACAGTTACGTAACTTGTCAAACGTAAGTAGTAATTGTTGCGTAAAGCAAAGCAAAAGAGGAAGAAAAACTGAAAATCGACGAAGTGCGCAACGTTGTTTACCGTGGAAGATTTTGGCGTCACGTGTTGGAGCCAACATCGGCTGCATTCATTGACACGTCACTATCTGTCTCGCCTAATCGTGAAACCTTTCACGCTGGATGATAATTCGAGTTTGCAGATTGCTGTATAAACAAGAGGAGCAAAGTCTCCTCTCGATGACGGGATGCGTCATCTTCATTCGTTTCGATACTTGCCGCACACGTCCTGGCAATAGCAATATTTCATCGCCTGAGTGAGACGGCATTTGCAAAATGGCGGCCGCATGTATATTGGAATTCCAAACGACGCTAGAACAGCACAGATAACACTCTTCGCGGCTCGCGTTCAAACCATTATTTACAAGAAATACTGACATACCAACCTAATTTCCCCTTATCTCTGCTAATTATTAGCATCCAGCGGTGCGCGGTGGTAGGTAGGAATATATACATAATTCTACATAAGTATGTACATCGTTTCACGTTCTCGCGTCGATAAATTTTCTAGTCCCAGTTCCATCCCCGCTTTGAAGATTCCGCTCGAAGATTCCACTCCCGGGAGAATTTTAGCGGCAAGAGTCCGAAGGAATTTCCAAGGAATTTGAAATTCATTCCCATTGGAGAGAACACCTTGGAGAACATGCGCCCATCGTCCTCGTGAAATTCACTCGTACAGAACGAATACTTTTCCGTTCCGTTCGTTGTACTTTAAACTCGTCTTTCGCTTTAGCTGGTTTTTTTTTGCAATAACATCGTTTTACTGTGATCATCGCTTTCACTCGATCCGAAGACATATATATATAAATAGAGGAGGGAAAAAAAAGGAAAGTAAGAGCTGGCACGTACTCGTATTTCTCTCGAGTGCTGATGCAAGCGTAACGATGCCTGTTTGCGAACATATCGCGCGAGACGAAAAGGCACGCTCCGCGTTGTGACTTGTGACTTGCAAGGAAAAAAAATTCCTTTCGTCCTTGCGAGTTCACTTCTCTTGGTCGCAAAAATTTCTTCCTTCTTCCACAGCTTCGTCGGCGAAAGTCGACGTGCGAAAAAAAAAAAAAAAAAAAA